GAACGGAGGAGGTGAGGGAGGGGGGGGGGGGGTGGGGTTACATTTGTGTGCAATCATACGCTTTTGGAGCGTTCTGGTTCATTACAAAAAATCGATTCTGTCGATAAGCCGCATCCCCTTCCGGGCTGAACGCTCCTCCTCACACGCCTATGCGCATCAAACCTCAGCCCTCACCATTCACAGGAATGCCTGTGCCACATGCATGCCAAACTCCTCATTTCCATGTTGCGGTAAACCCAGCAAATCATAAAATCTCCGACCAAAGTACCCTCGGCTCACCTTGCAGTGTGAAGAAGGCGTTTGCAGCAGGGAAGGCATTGCCTGCTGGACTGGCCGCCTGCGGTGCATGATGAGAATGGAGCGGCTTGATGGGGCATGCTTCGGACTGCTGTATCATGCTTCACCAGTTGCCCGGACCCGATCGGCCAGGCAGCCAGGCATCGGGACCATAGGCAGGGAACGGCCAACACAAACGAACCTGGAGCAGGACTCTCGTCGACAGCCTCGCCAGGCATACTGGCGCCGCCATGCAGACCAGGAGCACGACTAGCATGGCTCCCCGCGCCATGACGGTGTCGGACTGAGACTTAACAGGGGCACTCCGATGAGGGCCGCTCCCGTGCGATTACAGGTTCAAACTGCGGGCAAGGTCATGTGTTGCTGGCTGGTGAGTGCTTGCACGATGAGTGGCCCGGGCATGGGATGGCATGGCCATGCATTGATCCTTACCACGTCAGGCAGGCCAGCATGTGCTGTTCCCAAGGTATCGAGTGACTCCCGCAACGGCGCCTGGTTGTCGGTCTGACTGACGTGCTCAGCTGCTGGCTGCTGTGCAATGCCTCCAAATACTCATTACAAGCAGCAAGATGATGGTGTAAACCCTAGTGTGCACGGCGTGCGTGCGCGATCTTAGCTCGCGATGCTATGGTAGCTGAAAACCCCGCCCCCACGTGATCCGTCCCAGGGAACCTTGGGCGCGGGGCAACACGGACAGGAAATCAATCAGCAATTCGCTTCGTAGAGCCAATTCGATGTATCGTATGGCCGCGGACATCCAAACGCACCCCCTGGAGCTTGCTAAACCGGTCTGCCACCGCGGCGGACACACTCAGGTCTGAAATCTTCAGATCACCAACCCCATCTACATACATCCTTTGCGAACAACAACATTCCGCGGCAAAATGAATATGGATGTAGCACAAGCATGCACTTGTCGGGAATAAAGGGTTCCGGCTTGCCGTGCCATCGGGAACAGCAGGACAAGTGAGTGATTCCGCCTCTAGCCCTTTGGAACGATGGCAGCGTCCTCGGTCACGGCCATGTAATTCAACTTCGCAATGCCTCAACTGCAGATGGCTTGCAGCGAACGCTTTGGCCGTCAAGGGCCGTTGGGAATCACCCTCCCAGGCCATCGCCTCCATTGGCTTGGTGGGCTTCGCATACCAGGCCCCAAGAAAATCTCCGTTGAGAGATGGCCAGCAGGACGAGAGCTGCACAGCCTGGACCATCCTGCAGCCGGCGAAGTCGCTCGACTGCTTTGCAAATTGCTGCTTTTCAGCTGAGGGTGTGCAGTCCGTGACCCTCAATGCCTTATGTGAGGGAGAGGGAGCTGGCCATCTGCAATCTAGCGCACACATGCAGTATGCCCCCCCTGCTCCTAGCCTCCTCACCATAGAGGCAGCTGGCAAGTAAGTGCAGGGCTGGTGCGATGGCGGCATGGGCCTCACATGAGCTTGCCCCGAATGGTAGCCGTGCGTTGCTGCTCACAGTACAGGCCGGCACTCCCATGAAGCTTGCTCCCTGGCGCACCTTTGCTCTGCAGGTTTGGACCCGCGCGAAATTCTCTGGCGCTGGTGCACAGCTGCACCCTTGACTGCAATCGTCGGCAGTGCACCGCCCAGCAGGCCTCCTGCACCGTCAGCCTTCCAGCAGAGGCAACAGCGCGGGTGACTGTGCGCTGGGAGGAGGATGCGCAGTCGCTTGGTCCGATGCAGCTGAGCTTCTGGTCCCAGGGCGCAGAGGCCTGTCGTGGGCCGCATCATGGAGACGAGCGCAGAACTGTCGGTGCACCCTCGCTGGGTCAGGCTGCAGTCCTGATGACCACTTCCGAGCTCCGACAGCCGTCCCCAGGGTCGGACAGCCCTCTCCTGGACAGCAGTGCCTGCGCGCGCGTCTCCACGTCCCCTATGCCCCGCCCTGGAATCAGGGGCGAGCTGCGGCTCGGCCCAGACCTGAGGGGCTGCCGGTCCGGATCGGTGTCGTGGGGCAGGGGTTGGGGCCCTCGGTACCTCACCCTGCTGAACCTGGGGAGCAGGCAGGGGCGCCCCTGGGTGTCCGTGGACGCCGTGTCTGGCAAGACCAGGCTCAGCCTGAGCTTGCGTCGCGGCGCACCCACGGCTGCCGCTCCGTCGCCAGGCCAGCTGCCGGTCTCAGTTTCGCTGCAGTCGGCCTGGTCGCGAGTCCTGGGGCTGAGCAGCGTCAAGGCCAGGGTGGCGTGCTCGGCGGGCGGCGTTTCTCGCAGTCTCAGCGCTTGGGTGCAGAGCAGCACGCTCAGACTGGGGGCCAGCTGGAGCGGGGCGGGGACCTGGAAGGCCCAGGCTGAGGTGGCGCTGGGCACCCTGGCTTGGCACTGAGAAGTGGAGTACATTCTTGAATTTCTCATCGTATTCTGAAATCAAACCTCCCGAGATTCATGTTGTATTAATGCAAGACCTTTGCTGCTAGGGACTGTGCATGGAACCTTTTAACAATCTGTCCCCGCAACCCCCGCCCCTCCCGCGCCAGCGCATTGGGAGACTCCACTCCGAAACGTTTAGGGGCATACCTTTGCATGCTCAGGGACCTATCGAGCTCGCTGGACAATCCATCCGATCGATGGCGGGGTGTCCCTATCACACGAGGATGGGCGAGATGACGTCGCAGCTGGAGCGACTGGTGCACTCCCCCGCCGGGGCTGCCCTGGTGGTGGTCTCCGTCGCGCTCACACTGCTGGCCATGGTGGCCTCTTCCCTGCGCACACTTGGGGGCCTGTATCGGCATTTCATCCGAGGAGGACGGAATTTGAGGCAGTATGGCGAGTGGGCCGTGGTCACTGGGGCCACCGACGGCATCGGCAAGGCATACGCAGAGGCCCTGGCGAAGCAGCGTGAGCCCCGGGGTGTGAGGACTGTACTGTGTCTAAGACTTGTATCTGTGTCAAACGTACTCACTCACACCCTCTTGAAACCGCCTGCCCCCAGGTCTACGCCTGGTACTGATCTCGAGGACCGCCTCCCGGCTGGAGGAGGAGGCCAAGGCGATCACGGACAAGTTTGGCGTGGAGGTGCGGGTCGTCGCCGCAGACCTCACCTCCACCGATCCCGCCGTCTTCTCCCGCATCCAGGAGGCCCTCAAGCCCCTGGACGTCGGCATCCTTGTGAACAACGCGGGCATGTCCTACCCCCACCCCGAGTACATGCACGTTGTGGGCGACGAGGACATCAAGAACATTGTGAATTTGAATGTTCTGTCCCTCTCCAAGGTAACTGAGGGGGCTGGGGCATGAATGTGTGCGGGCCTAACACACCGCATGGCACATGCATGCAGCCCACTGTCCCCACCCGCGGCCATGTGCACCGCCTCGTCATGGCACAGCCCTGCTCAAGGAGGTTCCCCCCTCCCCCTCGTCCCACACCCATGCCCACAGCTCTGCCGCATCGTCCTGGGGGGCATGAAGGAGCGCGGCCGCGGCCTCATCGTCAACGTGGGAAGCGGCGCAGCCACCGCCATCCCCTCGGGGCCCCTCCTCGCAGTGTACACCGCTTCCAAGGTGGGGGAACGAGGCTGCCCTTTGGTGGCCGTCGGCCGATCCCTGGCTCAGCGCGTCGAGCTGGCCGCCTGGCCATGCCCTGCGACTGCCTTTCCTTTCCGCACGAGGATCTCCAACCCAAACCTCCCCACACAAACCACGCCGCCCCCCCCCCAGGCGTACGTGGATGCTCTCAGTCGGTCGCTGGACCACGAATACCGCGAGTTCGGCGTGCGCGTGCAGAACCAGGCGCCCCTCTTTGTCGCCACCAAGATGTCCAAGATCAGGCGAGCAGAGGGGTGTGCTGGGTGGGGGATTCGTGGTGGTGTGTGGCTTCATCGGCTGGGTGCCGATGGTCTGTACACGCAGAGGCTCCCCCCTCGCCATCACCACAGCCTGCAAAGGACTCGCATGCAGAGGCCGGCACGGTCACCCACTCCCACGCAGGCGAGCCCGCATCGACGCGCCCACGCCAGAGGTCTGGGCGGCGGCCGCCGTGCGAGCCATGGGCTACGAGACAGTCTTCTTCCCCTACTGGTTCCACGCGCTGCAGGCGGCCGCCGTGAAGCTGCTGCCCGCCAGCCTGGTGCAGTACCAGGTGATGCAGATCCACCGCAGCCTGCGCCGCGCGGCGTACCGCAAGAAATCCAAGGCGGCGGCGGAGCTGCTCCGCGCTCGGAGCGGGAACGAGGCGGGCGAGGCCCCCGCGCCCACCGCCAACGGGGTCAAGAAGGACGACTGAGAGAGATGGATGTGATGACTCTCATCGCTGCCATGAGAGGGTGATGGCGCGCCTCGCATGGCTACGCAGGCGCGCACGCCCCTCTCCTGAGACATGCATGGCCAGACCGACCACCGCGCGGGCAGCTGCCCTTGGTATGTCCTGGATCTCGTGGCATGATAACGGTGTGCACCAGGGCGAAACATGCATTCCTGTGATGGGAAACCTGATACCCTCCACCCCACCCCCCGATCAATTCAGACCCGCCTCCGTTCCTTCTGCAACCACACCGTGCTCCTCTTAGCTGCCCTGCTGCTCCCCTCGCCTGTACACTCTTGCCCTCCCGGTGCTGGCGAGCTGCATCAACAGCGCCGGTGCCTCACTCCCCCCAGGCCAGCATGCAGTGCGCCGCCGCGCCGCGCACGCTCCGCGCGTCGTCGTCCAGCGCCGCCCGGGCCGCCGCACGCGCCCGCGCGCGCAGCGGGTGCAGCGTGGTGTAGGGCAGCGCAGCCAGCGCACACAGGGTGGAAAGCGCGGCGCGGCGCACGTCTGGCTCGCGGTGGGCCGCGCAGCGCAGCAGGGCGGGGAAGGCGTCGGGCAGGAGTCTGGTGATCACGTCTCGGTCTGCTGGGAATTTGGAAGGGAGAAGAGAGGGCGGAGGGGTTGCTGCTCCGGCGAGGTGCAGAGTTCCATGGCGTCAAGGCGCTGGGCGGTGCAGATGTGCCCTCCAAATTAAGCGACAAGGCATCCTTCAGAGCGAGAACGACCCTATCCACCCCATTCCCCCCTCACCTGTTGTGGCGCCACTACCCGCCAGCCCTGCCAGCATGTCCAGCAGCCCCGTGACGGTCTGCTCCGGGCCCGGCAGGTCGGCCACGGCCGCCAGGCAGGGCGCCAGCAGCGTCTCCACGCGCGCCAGCTGGCTGCGCTGCAAAGCGGGGTCCACCGAGGTCAGGGCCGCGCCCAGCGTGCACAGCGCGGGCACGAACGGCGGCGGGGGCCCCAGCGCACGCAGCAGCGCGCTCACGAGCAGGGTGAGGGTGCGCTGCCGCCAGAGCGGCCGGACCAGGGCCGAGGGGCTGCGCTGCGCGGCGGCCGCCAGCACCCCACGCACGAAGCGTGGCCCGTCCTCGACGCCCGCGGCGGGCCGGCAGCAGGCCGCGATCCCCTCCTCGAGGGCTGCCGCCGCCCGCGCGTGGGAGCGCAGCGCCAGGGCGCGGGCCAGCGCCGCCCGCCCCTCGATCCAGGCCGCGTCGGGGGCGGAGCCCTTCCCGGCCAGGGACGTCATCCATACATCAAGCGCGGGCACCAAGCCCTCGGGCCGGTCTGCAAGGAAAGGACATGGATGGGGGGGGAAGGCTTTTATGCTGTGGAATGCTGAGAGGGAGGCGGCAATGAGCATGACCTGCGGTGCGGGATGCCAGGGCCTGCCAGGGCATCTGAGAAAACTCGCCGGGCAGGCAGGCATCTGCATCAGATTGCCTCTTGTGAGGCCGAGAGCTCAGCCCCTGACCACCAGCCTCCCTCCAGATACAAACACCCTCACCGTCCGGCCACTTGTTGACCAGAGAGGCCGCTGCCTCGATGTACAGCGAGCGCTGGCCATCCGTCCGCCACAGCTCGCTCAGCCGCCGCACCAGTGTCAACGAGCAGGCGGCACGCGCGGCCGCCCTGCTGCACCCGATCAGCACCCCGCAGTGCACGAGCGCAACGCCTGGGTCGGATTCGGTAGCCAGCAATGAGGCCTTGGCGCGGCCTGCCCAGGCAGCCTGCGCCGCCGGGCTCGCGCCCGGCAGGGCGGCTGCAACGAGCTGCGCCGCAGCCTCGGCCTCCCCATCAGTCCCCGACTGCGGCACGTGACAAGGCGTGGGCAGTGGTTCCTTGGTTGGCAAAGTCGCTACGCCCTGGCGGGCCAGCAAAGCCGCTCAGCTCTGACTGGCACGGAAACACAAGCGCCCCCGGTCCTCACCTTGTAGGCTCCCAGTAAGGCAGCCAGGACGCCCTCGCTACCGCTCTCATCATGCGGATGCGTCAGCAGGTCTGCCAGGCAGTTCAGGGCGGCGAGGACGTGGCCAGCGTCGATGCTGCCCTCTGCGCCAATCGCCTCCATGGCTGCCGCGCCCTCTGCGTCGGGCCTGAGCCTGGCCAGGGCAGCCTCGATGCCCATCGTGCACGCCGTGGCGGAGGCCCGCGCCAGCTGGCGCACCAAGGCGTCGCCGGCGGGCGCCCAGGCCCCGGGCCCTTCGCCCTGCAAGGCCGCGCGTAGGACGATGGCCAGCAGCGCCCTGCTCTCCTCCCCGAACCGCGCCAGGGCCAGCAGCGTCTGCATGGCACTGGCGGCCAGGTCGGGCTCGGCGGCGTCCATGGCCTGCAAGGTGAGGTATAGGGCAGCTTCCTGGGCGGCAGGCCCAAGCCCCGAGGGCCCCAGCACTTCCACGGCGCGCTGCAGGAAGCACAGAGACCGCAGGGTGACGGTCGAAGCCGTGCAGGGCCAGTCCAGGGTCCAGAGGTCTGCATCGGAGACAGCTATGACTTCAGAAGCTTGCTGTGCCTCAGCGACATCGTGTCTGCGAATGGCGAGCTGCACCCATTCCTGACATGGAGCCAGGAGTGCCGTCAGTATTCTCGGGCCCGCCTTGATCATCTGCGCCAGGCCCTGCCAGGCCAGCGCCTGCGCTGCCAGCGGCGCAGTCGGAGACTTGATCGCCTCGGTGATGCGACCCAGAGCATCTTCCAGCTCATCGCAGGCGGCGACTGAGCTGCACACCTGCCAAGGGAAGAGAGAAGGGGTTGGGTTCCCATGGAGGTTGGGCAGGTGGTTGAGCGGTGCGGATGGGGTCAGGCACCAGCTCCAGGCCACAGGGCTCCATGGCTCGGGGTGGCGCACGCCTTGTACACAGCATTTGTCGCCAACGCCATCAGCACGGGCTCCCTGCCAGAGGATCCCACCAACCCACCCCGCTCAAGATGTGCACGCCGGCCTGCACCAGCCTGCTGGCCCGCGCCTGGGCGGCCTGGGTTGACCCTGGGTCCCGTAGGCACTGCAGCGCCTGCTGCACCGCAGCATCCTGCACCAGCGAGCTGCCCAGGCCGTGCCGGACCCGGCTGAGCTGCGATACCTGCGCGGGTATGGTCAGATGAACCAGGGTTGAGTGAAAGGCGCCCAGAGCCAAGGGCGCGCGGTTGGGATGGGGATTGGAAAGTCCTTCCCATGCAGCAGAGCACAGACGAGCAAGGTACCATGCAGAGCCATGCAAACCCCATGCCTCGCACTAGATCCCCCATCACCCGCCTCACCCACTCGGCGAGGCACTGCGCCGCGGGGGTGGCGAGGTCCTGGGCGCTGCCCAGCGCTGGCGCTTCCAGGGCCTCGGGCAAACAGATCTCGGCCCGCAGCCGGGTCCAGACCTCGCCCCAGTCGGCGTGCGCGTCCAGATCCGCGGGCGAGCAGGCGCCGGGGACGCGACGGAGGAGGTCCAGGGCGTCGGTCTTGGCCTGCCTGCGCTTGCGGCGGCGGCGAGCCAATGGCGGGGTCCGGCAGCCTGAAACTTCGAGAGTGCGTGGCAGGCACCCTTTCCCCCATGGTCCCTGATTTGACAGGCACGCTCCAGCAATTGTGCACCTGAGGGACGAGGCCAATTTCTCCAGCAGCACTGGCAGGAGGTAAGGGAGGAAGGCGGGGCTGCACAGTAGGACGTCTGCCAGGGCGCGGGCCAGGCCCTCGCGCGTGATGCCGTGGGGATCGTTGGCAGGCGGGCTGAAGCTGATGGGGAAGTAGCAGGAGAGGATGTCGAACAGCTCTTCAGAGCCCTCCTGGTGAGACTTGGCGGAGGGTGGGGGAATGGAGGCCAGGGAATGGTTCCAGGGTCGCGCCGGGGTGCGCCGCAGACTGGCCACTCAATGCGAGTGTGGTGTAGTTTTCCCAAACCCTGCACCGCAGCACCCACCTCCATCTGTCCCGCAGCCAGGCTGTTGCTGGGCTGGGCGGAGTAGAGTGCCATCAGGGAGCGTGCCAGGGCAAAGGCGGCCAGCAGTCCGCGAGGGTCCCTCTCGCCATCCATCCCCGCCAGGCATGCATCCCAGAGACTGACCCCGGCATCCAGCAGCTGTTGCCCATAGTCCTGTAGGTGGGAATAGGCACATTTGGGGCTGCCAGCAATGTGCCGTCGCTGGCTGCACTGCACTCGGGCAGCCGCCATGCTTAGACTGGACCTGTCTTGGCGGTCCCCCACCCCACCTGGACAAGAGCCTGGAGAGCTCTGTATGCCAGCAGGCGCTCTGTCTGGGGGAGGTGCTGCACGAACACATTGCTGGTCAGGTTCTTGGCAACGCTCAGCAGCTGTGCCTGGCTGAGGCTTGGAGGGCAGGCTGGATTCTCAAGGAACATGAGGCACCCCAACAAGGCGCCGTGCAGGGAGGGCCTGCAGTGTGAGAACAGCTTTATTGTTGTGGCGTTAATCCAGAGTGAGAGCTGTCCCAGACTAATTCAGGGTTTATATCAGGCACTCAGCCTTGCCAAATGTCCATGATCAGCTTCGCATGACATCCTGAGCCTGAGCCTGCCTTCACCATGCAGTACCTGTCATTCAGCCTGGCACAAAAGAAGTCGCCGGTATGATGAGCATCCGCCTCAGTCGCAATCAGTCCAGGAATGCCGACGAGCGCCTGTGAGGGTAGCAGGGGGGTCATGCGCGACAAAAGGTACCAGCCATTTGGGCCTCCAGAAGCTAGCTGGGACACCCACTCAGCAATCGTCTCACCTCTGCAAAGACGGTGAGTGCCTTGCCGCGGTTGGCATCGTTCTCGGATATCAGAAAAGGCCCAAGAGCTCCATTAAGCACGGCTAGATTGACCCTGTCCCTTTTCAGGCTGGTAATCAGTCCAGCGAGCCGCTCTCCCGTCTCTGCAGTGCTGAAGTCAGTGGTCACCAACTCCGAGAGGGCTGACGTCCATGGCTGATCGACCGACATGCTGCGCCTGCCGTCAGTCAGTATTGATGGATTGATGGCTGCTCTTGTTGTGATCCTGCGTCGCTCCTGTGTTTGGAATGGAGGACTGATATGCATGCTGTGGGCGGAGCATCGGTGTCTCTAGTGCCGTAACATTAATACACAGGACGTCTTAATGCTCCTCGGCTCAAATGCGTGACCTTTGCGGTATTGCTTGAAAGCCCTTGATAAGGTGCTAGAACGTACTTGCTTCTCCCGAGGTACCGAATTCCAGCTAAGACGACGGTGCCATGGTGGCACCAAGCAGGTGTGCAGTCGCTCATGTATGACGGATGCACGCAATGGTGTTGCATCAATAATATAAACAACTCTCCTGAACGGCCCTGCAGGATTCTGTGCTTTGCACAGAGGGTCAAAAAGACATCGGGGGGCCGTGCGTGGCTTCCCAAGTGGGGTCTCACAGGTGCCGTGGTTGTGAGGGTCCTCAACTTGCGTGCCTTCTACTGGCTTACCGCCCAGAATCGTGTATGTATGGATCCTGTGCAGCTTCTCCTTCCTTCCAAGGCCGTAGCTTCCGACTGTGCAGGCTTGAACCAGACTCAGAAGGCCACGCGCCGGAAGAACCGAGGCCAAGAGCAAGACCTTGCAGCTGCCCTCAAGCAGGCGGCGGCAGGTGATCCCAAGGCATTGGAACAGGCCGCAGCATAGACAGGCATCCGCATGCCTGGCCCCTGACCCCGACGACAGGGCGTGTAGTGCTGTCTGAGATGGAAGTGGGCGCACCTGAGCGATGGAGACCACAGCAACCAGCTCGGCAGAAGAGGCTTCAGACAGCAAGGCAGTAGGAGATGCTGTTGCATGCATCATTGTGCCCATCAGATTACAGAGGCAAGGTGCCACTCCTACTTGGGTATTTCTAAAATGACATGTTCTGTGCAATCCCAAGAGTGAGATTGAAGCCCCTAAATTGCAACCGAAACGTACAAGTTGAAGAGTATCCAGTACTGTAGCATTCAGTGTCCAAATCTTCGCTCATTGGGGTTCCTCACCAAACTCCATCGATGAGGGTTGTTTGAAGTGAACCGAGTTCCACGACACGACGCGCCTTCGACGGAACCTGGTCCTCGTCAATCACCGCATGAGGTCCGTTCAAGATAACGCACACTCCTTCGGTTGCTCAGCAAACTGGAAGATCGTCGCGTGCCTCCCAAATCGATGCAAGGTTGCTCCATAGCATGGGAGCCCCTGCTACTTACCTCGTAAAGCACATACTGTTTCGGGGCAGGAGGACGCCCATCCTTCTTCAAGATGTCAATGGTCCATGCCCTCTGATTGCCCTGGCCAATGTTTTGTTTCTCAGGAACAGGCTGGAGCTGCCACTGGGGGTCGGGGAGGTATCCTCGGTAGGTTTGCGAATTGGGTCGGTCCCCGCCCCTGCTTGTGCCGAGATCCACCCTTGAACCAGAGCGCATCCCTGCGACCTTCGCCCCCCATCTCAATTATCACCGACAGGATAAGATTGTGGAGCTGCTAGCAGGCTACTTCCTGGATGCTCAGACATCTGCGAGCGGGCGAAATGAGGAGCAGCAGGCAGCCCTTCAGCACCAGCTGGCAGAGACCATGCAGCTCCTGCCCCAGCTAACAACCGGCATAGATGTAAATGTCCGATTTACAAGCATAGGCGGCTTTGAGGTGAGTAACGGGGGGGTTTGTTATAGACGGCAGGGTGATTGTGGCGTTGTGATTCGTCGCCCACCTACAATGAGGGGATGGCGTATAAGCCTGCACCTATGCCATCACTGGCTGCTTCTCTCAGGCGATTATTACCCTCCAGCCCCTGCCCTCCCACCTGCAGTTCACGAGGGAGACTGGCATCTTTGATCTGCTCAATGTTCGCCTGGTGCATGGTTGGCTCGTAGACCCCCAGGTGTGTGTGTTGGGGGGGAAATCTTGAGCATGAGAATAGAACTTGCTGACTGTCATGCACATGCTCTGACTGCCTTCGCCCCACTCTTGATCCGGGCCCCTGCTCAGGACACGGTCACCGCTCAGGCTGTCGGCCAGGCATCCTACAACGAGCTCATCCTGCGGGTCGTGTGCGCACTGGACGGGTCCTACGCCGCCGGGTTCACCTCAGAGGCGCCCGGCCAGGCCCCGGCGGCCAGCCAGCCTCTGCCCATCCCAGGGCATGGCATCGATGCCGCATCACTCACAGCAGCGCTGGCCAGCGCGGCGTCTGGCGCGCCGGCCGCCTCCCCCAGCCCCGCCGACCACAAGGACAGCCTCGCATCCGCCATCAACTCCATGCTGGGGGACCTGGTGAAGGTGAGTGCCCCCTTGCGCAGCCGAGATGACAAGGGGGGGACAGGCTCCATATATGAGCATTGTCCGCCTTGATCCGCGAGAGTTTCCCTTCCCCGACCTGCAAGGCCCATCGGCCCCCGTCTGACGGTTCGCCACCCACGCTCCCTTGCGCACTCCAGGATGCATTCGATCGCTCCTACAGCGGACCCCGCCCCCTCAGGTCCTCTGCAATAATCACCCGGCCCAGCCGCAATCAGAGCGAGCGCGCCGAGAGCCAGGCCGGCTCTGTGGCGCCTGATGGATTGCTCGGCACCGCCTGCGACTCCCAGGAGCTGGTGTGTGTGCTTAGACAGGGTGGGGCCCTTTGTGGCACGTCATCCTTTGCTGGGGAATAGGTAACTTTAGAGGCCAAGCACGATGTGCAGCCTCTCGTCCCAAGTCCTTGGCCTCATGCGCCATGCACATCCCCTCCCTGCCCAGTCCCGGGAGCCGTTCTTTGCACTGGATAAACCGAGCCCCGGCCCCGCCCCAGCCGATGAGGAGCCGGCACGGCAGTCGACGCCGCCATGGGCAGATGCATGCGGCGACGATGGGCCCAGTTCCTCTGTGACGCCACGGGCTTCCCCTTTTGACGATGTGGAGGCTCGTTTCAAGGACTTGACCGTCGCCACGGGAGTGCCAGGCCGGCAGGCTGCACAGGGCACCGTGGCCGGCATCGACACGAGACAGGAGGCCGCCGGGGCCGCAGAAAACAATGCAAGGCAGGGATCTGAGGGTGCGGGTGGGACCCCAGCGCCGGCCTCTGTTGCGGCGGCCTCTGGGTCACAGCGTGAGGCGCGGCAGGTGGACGAGGAGGTGCGGCAGGCGCTCGTCATCCAGGATTTCCTGGAGAGCTGCCCCAGCCAGCTGACGTATCATGGGCTGGCCAGCCTGATCCAGGACTTGCAGGAGGGGGAGGTGGCTGTGTTCTTCAGGTGCGAGTGATATCGTCGGGTGGGAGGCGTGTGTCGCAAACGCCGAGCGCGGCAAAGCGAGGTGCATGGAGGATGATTCCCATGCGGCACGCTTCATACCGAGGCAGGCTCTGGGATGGGCCACTCCCGCGCCCTGTATTTGGATCTCGATCAACTCCGGCCAAACACCCCCTTCCTGCCCCGCACTGCCCACTCTGCCTCAGCCCACTCTCTCAACCCACAGGAACAACCACTTCAATGTGCTGCACAAGCATGGCGGCCAGCTCTATTTGCTCATCACGGACCAGGCAAGGGCTGAGTGCATGCGGTGGCCGGCTTGTGTTTGATCTGAGAACTGGGAGGTGCACCAAGCTGTGTGAGGGGGTCATTTTGCAATGCAAGGCCTATTCGGGCACTGAGAGCTGTCAGCCATCCTGCTGAAGCCTCACCCTGCCTCGGCCTCTCACCCCCTGCCCTCTCAACAGGGCTACCAGTATGAATCAGACGTGGTGTGGGAGCACCTTGCGTCTGTGGACGGGGACACCTCGCTCTTCAACGCCGACTTCAAGCCTTTCCGGGTCCACTCCTTCCCAGCCCCAACTGCCGGTGAGGGGGTGCTGCCGGCCTGGGGCCTTGGACTTGGGATTCTGAATATCTGCGAGTGGATGATGTCCCGACAATCCATCTGCCTGTGTGATGGACACGGGATGTAGAGATGCCATATGCTGGACTCCACAAGAATCGTGCACCTGGACTGACTCCTTGCCTCCAAGCGGGTCAATGCATCCCTCCTACCAACAGCCTGTTGTGTGCGCCACACGGCCGCAATCAGCGCACTGGCAGGCTTGCTGATCAACCTCCCCCCCCGCCTCGCCTCGCAGGCCGGGCCTCACCCTCCATGCTCGCCGACAGCGACTTTGCGCTGGCCCTGCAGCTGCAGCAGGAGGAGGAAGAGAGCGAGGCGAGGGTATGGACCCGCCGCGACCCCGGCAGGCCCCCCATCCTGCCCCCGGCCGGCTCCTCGCCCACGGCTGGGCAGCGGGCGCAGGGGCCCCTGGCCAGCACGCACAGGCAGGCGGCAGGTGGGCCTGGCCCCAGCGCAGGCCAGGCCCAGCTGGAGGGTAGGTCCCTGACCCGGTTCTCGCCGGGCGCCTACCTGCGCCGCCCCAGTGGCGGAGGCAGGGACAAGTCGACGAAGAAGGAGAAGAAGGCCTCCGACTGCGTGGTCATGTGATGCCTGTTGGCGTGCCGCGCTGGGCTGGGTCTGGCTCGCCCTGACGCAGCAGCTTCCCTCGGTCCCACGGCCTTGCCGTCCTTGTCAGCCGCCTTGGCTCTCTCGCTTGGCCTTGTGTCCCGGCCCGTCGCGTGATGCCGGGGCCCTCGCTGGTTTTATTCTCTCCCCAGAACCAACCGAACAGCCACTCCTAGAGGGTCCGCATGGGGACTGGGGTTGCCGCTGGGGACGCTGAGCATGGGTCTGGGCACCCAGTCACCGGCATGGCTTCAGGATTCTAGCATGTTCCCAGCTCTCTAGCTCCCTGCCTTAAGCATCCTGCCACTGGACAGCCCCGACGCCACGACCCAATAGCTCTAGGTAGTCGCCCCCCGACACGAGCAGCTCATCGCTGGTGGGAATGTACTCCAGCGCATAGCATCTGGTCGACAGCTCAGCCTGGAAGTGCGGAGCCCTGCTGGCAAACATGCCTGAAAATGTGGCCTGGTGACCGCCACCACGTGTGCCGAAGCCCAGGAGGAAAACATCGCCGCCTTGGTCACTGACGGCATACTCGCCGTCTGGCAGCCATGCCCCAGGCTCCGGCGGACCTGGCAGGGTACATGTTTGGGGATCAGATTGGGGTGCGTACGTTCCAGGCTGTGGGTAAGGATGCCCAAACCCCATGGCGATAAGCGCAAAGCGCACCGCCACCCCTCCACCGCACCATGCACAGCCCCACAGCCGCCGGCCGGGCCTTACCTGTAAGAATGGGTCGCCGTGCCTCCTCGTCAGGCGTATACTCAGGCGCGTAGAGGTGGGTGATCCTCCCTGCCGCCACGTCCAGGACCCCGCACCATTTGCCGAGGAGGTGGAATGCTAACCTGTCTGGATGCTCCGGATCAGGCTGGCAGATGGAGAAAGGCGGGGCAACTGATGGGGAACTTGCCCGTTCAAGACTATCCTGGCAGCCATGCGCCTAGGTTGCGGAGCTGGTGCCCCACCTCGCCCAGGAGTGCACCCTTCCCACCCCCAGAGCTGGGCTTCTTCCTTCTTTCCCCGCCCTCCCACCTCCGCGCACCTGTGCAAGCCTGCAGTTTGAGTGCCGCTCCAAGCATTTCCTTCCTCCCACCCAATCTTCCAGGCCAGGAATGTCGGCCAGCATGCCCGGCAGCGACACCTGGCTCAGCTCGGGGTGGGAGTGGATGCGGGCGCCGAAGCAGGCGGCCGCAGTCCGCCCGCCACGTAGGTCCCAGGTGCGCACTGTGCCCGTGGAGTAGGCCGCCACCACCGCGTTGCCGCCGTCCCGCACGCTCAGCCCAGCCACGGAGTGCCTGCCGGGCGCGTACCGCCCGCTGACCATCTCCAGCACCAGGTCCGGGGCCAGAGCCCCCCCCTGACCGCGACCGGGGTCGCGTGAGTCCCACAGGCCCACGTGGCCATCCAATGTGCCCGCTGCCAGGCGGAAGGGGGCGGTGCCGGGCGGCGGCACGTGCAGGCAACTGACCGCGGCGTTCCGACCCTGCCTGACCAGGGCCAGGGCGGTGTGTGGGAGGGAGTGCCTTCCCTCGGCGCCGGCGTACAGGAGGACGCGGTTGGAGGCAAGCGAGGGGATGGCCAGGTCGTCTGCCGCCCAGACTGGCATGAAGAATGGGCCGGCGCCGGGGTCGAGGCGTGTGCAGGGCACGGCTGGGGCGCCCCAGCTGAGGACCAGCGAGGAGCTGCGCAGGGAGCCCAGGCTGGACAGGAGGACGTTGCCATCCTTGCAGTGCAGGGCCATCGCATCTCCAGCGCCATGCACTGCGAGCCGGTTGACAGGGGCGGGGTCAAACCCGGGAGCAATGGTCTTGCCGACCTCCACTCGGGAGTGCAGGAAGCGGTAGAGGGTGTAGGGGGGGAGGCGGCCTGTGCATGCTCGGTCCAGCACCTCTCTATGCACAGGGAATGACACATGGAGGGGGCTGTGAGGCGACAGCATGGCCTGGGCTGCAGCCCCTGGCACAGAATCTGGCAGGGCACCCGCAGCCCATCACAGGCACCAAGCAGACCTTGCTGCGCAGGTGGAGGCGAAAGGGGTTGGCTGCGGGCGGTTATCCGTCATATTTACATGTGAAATAGCCTCAAACTTGCTGTCATCATGCGCATCGGGTGCTAGGATGTAGCGATCCAGCGTGGAGTAGCGTGCCATACGCGCCCGTCACTCTCGCAGCCCATGCATGCACCTCCGATGACCAGCACAGTGTCTTCGCGTTGGCATCAATAGCTCGACAACAAGCTCTGCACCTGATCATCACCTCACAGGACGTGCACCAGGCTGTCGCGCTCTCCTCCCGGCCTCGGTTCAAATCGGGAGGAAAGAAATCAGATCCTGCATGTCTACCCTGCTCAATCATAGTAGGTGCCCTGGCACGGCTCATGCCTGGGTGCAGAAGGTGTTACAGGCGTGGAAAAGGGGATCGAACAAAGACGCAGAGGGGATTGATTGTGCAGCGCAGGCATCAATTGGGGAGTGGTACGAGTCATGGGAGTGCGACTGCCAGCAGGTAGCAGGAAAACTGTGAGGGTACAGGGAAGTAGAGTACATCGACAGCCTGCACAGGCCAAACGAAAATGTATCTCTGGAGGAACGAGGTGGGTCCAGTATTGCCAACTTTGCTGCTCTGTGGCTCAGGAACAGCCGCCGCGGTCATGTCCGTGATCACAGGACGATCCGCGTGCGGCAGGTTGGGCAGCGGGCATGCTTGCACAGCCAACCGTCAGCACAGCGAGCATGGAAGGCATGCTTACACTCTGTCAGGACTCTGGTAGGGGGCCGGGGTGTGCGGCGTGGGTGGGGGCCAGTACTGCTGCATGGCTGCACCCCGTCGCTCGGGCTCCGCATACCCCAGTCCCCATGAGCACCCAACCCACCGCTTCCCAACCCTCCAATTCCCAGGATGCCCAACCCCCTTCCTCTCGGCCCGCCGCTCACCGTATTTGCTCGGCATGCTTCCAGTCCTCCAGGCATATCGCGCACGTGGTCTGCTGCAGTGCTCCCACACCATGCTGCAGGTCCCAGGCCGTGATCCTCCTCAGGCCCAGCGAGCGCAGGCGCCACGCCTGGTCCTCTGGTGAGGTGAGATTCGGGGGGTGGGGGGACCTTCAGCACGGTGCCGCAGGGCAGGCGAGCATTTCCAAGGCGCCAAGCCAGGAAGGCATCAGGACCTGAAACCCCGCCATCACGGCAGCCAAGCCCGGTGACAGGGCCCCCCCACCCAGCGTCCTCACCTGGTGCTGCCTGAAAGGTCTTCTCGATGTAGTCCAGGACACGCTGGAGCACCTCCTCCAGGTAGTCGCCCAGCTGGTCACAGAAGACAGCAAACCTGACCTCAAAGCTGTTCCGCGAGCAGACAAACTGGTCCCAGATGTCCACGAAGCCCAGCACCGTGGACGTGGGAACGGGCCAGTTGATCTGGAGGACTCTCCAGAGCCACCGCACGATGGTCACCCGGGCTGCCAGTTTCCGCATGCACTCCACGCCTGCCGGGAAGGGCGAGGGAGGGCTGAGGCTGCCTGGGCGCCAGCGTCACCGGACGCGCCTGCTGGGGCCCAGGACGATACGGCTTGGATATGAAACACGTCTCCGGCCCATGACGCACCTATCCCGGCTGCAACCACATTGATCAGGATCAGCAGGGCCAGGACCGCGTCCAGGACCGGCATCTGCCAGCACACGGCTGGCACCGCAGAGTTGTGCCAACGCCCTGTTTCGGAGAGGGAAGAGGACTGGAATGTCGGTGGGGGACGAGGAAAGTCCAGGAAGTGGCTTCTGCCGCGCGGGGGCCGGACCTTTCAATCGGCGAAGAAGAGGGAGGTTCCGGTTCCCGCGCCCTAAAATCACGATCTCGTGTTCCAATTCCCAGCGCCTCTACAACTGATTTCTCAGCCTGAAGACAAAGGGATGATCGGTCAGATCTAAATCTTATTGAAATGCCCTTCCTGCTCGAATCCGATGGATGATGCTGCCGGCGGATGCGCTCCATGCCCCTCACAAACCTGGTTCAGGCCGTCCGGCCTGTACCCATCACGATATGCACGGTGGCCAAGGCATCTAGCCCAGCGGCTAGGGCCATGGCCTCGGAATGGCGTGACAAGCTGCAGCGGTGATTGAGATTCTGCAAGTTGGGCCCGGAGTGATGGAATCGACCGATGCATCAGGGTGGGTAGGCATGCACATGCCAACCTGTGCGTCATCTTGCTGTCCTCAAGCACTCTTTCTGTCCCACAACCCTCCCACCCGCGCTCAGGTACGTGTCTGTGGAGGAGGTGTGCGTGAAGCCCAACCCCAAGAATGTCAAGGACCCGCTGCTGGCAGTGCAGCATGAGGGCGAGCGGACTCTGGCTGCCCTTCCCAACGACGCCTATGTGGTACTTCTTGACGAGCGGGGCAAGGCCCTGACCAGCCCAGGGCTGGCCGCCTTACTCACCAGGGCCTCCTCCGATGGGTCGCCACGCCTCGCTTTCCTGGTGGGGGGCCCGCATGGGCACCATGCCTCGGTGAGAGCCCGCGCTGACATCAGCATAAGGCTGTCTGACATGGTCCTGAACCACCAGGTGGCCCACGTGGTCCTGCTGGAGCAGCTCTACCGCGCGTGGACCATCCTGAAGGGGTCGCCCTATCACCACTGACAAGGGCTGCGCCTGCCATGGTACTGATCGGGGCCCGGCGGCACATCCAAGCCGGGCAGCCCATCGGAGTGGAGCTGTGCGTGCTGTAATCAACTGGCCTCGAGGCTGAGGCACAACAGCGCGACCTCTTCTGACATCTTTGCTTATTAAGCTGGTACTGTCAAGTTAATGTCCTGCTTGGTCAACTGATGGCACAGAGATAAGGAGAAAGGGGCTCCTTTTTCAGATTGTCGAATAGCCGAGCGGCACAACTCACTGCAGTAACAGCAGTGTCCTCATTGGCAGCCCAATCAACATCACACCAGGCTCAGAAGATGTGGCTGATCACCCCCATGGCAATGCCCACTCCCGTGCCCCAGAGGAGCATGCCACCCATGCCGGGTCGAGCCGGCGCAGGCTGGACTCGTCGTCCCTCTGGTCCTGGTTTTGGCTCCCCAATCGCAGTCGTTTCCCCTTCATGTATAACAAAGTGATGGGGCTTTGAGGCTTTGCACGTGTTTCTTGTAACCAATGTACAGCCTCGAGGCTCTACTCAGTGCATTGAAATCCTGAGGAGTGCGAGGGAACCAGCCATGAAGGGCTCACCTGTCTTCTGATTCCAGTAGTATAGCTGCCCGCTGTTCTTGTCTTGAACAGAGGTCCACTCCTCTGCGAGAGCATTATTGGGCTGGGAGGCCACCGCTGGGAGCCCTGATCGTCTACTGGGTTTGGGTGCCGAAGCTGTTCTCTTCGCGCCGGTCGCGTACCAGCGTTTGGAGACCTGTGCACTCAACTGACGGAGCATGCTGCTTTTCGAGATCCTTTCGGAGGTCGTCGCCGCGCATGCAGCGGAAGGGACACCCTTGGTCCTGTAACAGTGTGCATTCAGGTTCTGAATACTCTTTCATCACATTGCGTAAAGTGCATTCTTGCACTCCCTCGAGGCGGACACGACCAGATCATTTTCTCATCCGGGCGCGAAGGGGGGCTCCTAATTCCTAGTGGTGGGACCAATACCCCTGTAAAGTACACCCCATCTAAGGCTGCGTTATTCAAACTGTGAGGGGGTCTAGGTCTCTCCTCCCCTCCTCAAAGCTAGTATGAGAAGACACAGAGAGAGGGAAAGGGCACACAGGTCGTGGTCCCTCCCATGGGGTGGCCACCTCGCCGGGCGGGGTGTGGGGTGTGGAGCAGGCCACCGCCATGGGACTGCACGAAATTCCGTCGGCCCGGGCGCCACTCCATCAAAGATGCCGCTGCTGCTGGCTTCCAACGAATGTTGAGACCTAGGCCACCGTGGCGAGGCGCTCGGCCTTGAGCATGTCGATGAACTGGGCAAAGCACACGTCGGCGTCGTGGGGTCCGGGCGACGCCTCCGGATGGTACTGCGAGGAGCATGTGGGAGAGGTTGTTGAGGAGAGTGGTCGACAGGGAGCCCTCCGGGCAGTGGAAAATGCAATTTACAGAGAGAAAACGCCATCGCACAACCCATGTTCCGCTACAAAGGGTTGCATGGAAAGTACTCCCCCCAAATTTGCCTGCACGGATGCCACCTCCGATTCAGATCAGCCATTCTCATCCGCTCGGCAGGACCCCCGCTGGCCTGTGCCTGGCCGGTCTCTCTTGCCCTGCATGGCAAGCCACCCCTTCCCCATCACGTCCCTCCCTGGCCTGACCGACAGGCACCCCCTCCCAAACACGCACAACGCACACACGCACCTGGATGGTCATCGCCTTCTTGGAGGGGAAGAGCATGCCCGCACATGTGCCGTCGTTGAGGTTGACGTGGCTGACCTCCACCTCCTGGGGCAGGGTGTCGGGGTCCACCGCAAAGTTGTGGTTCTGGGCGCTGATCTCGATGCGGCCCGTGGGGGTGAAGCGGATGGGGTGGTTCCCGCCGTGGTGCCCAAACTTGAGCTTGAAGGTCTTGGCCCCGAAGGCCTGGCCCAGCACCTGGTGCCCCATGCAGATGCCAAACACCGGCTTCTTGCCCAGGATCTCCTCCGCGTTGGCCACCGCGTAGGGCACCGCGCTCGGATCGCCCTGTTGCGGAGAAGAAAGAGAGGAGATGGTGGGTGGGTGGGTCGTTGGGGGGGGGGGGGGGTACGTGGTGATGGCTGGCGTCGACGGATGTGGATGCTGCGCAGATGGCCTGCCACTCCTACTGCACGTGAACGAGCAGGGCGATCTCCGGTGACCCCCACGGCCTTCTCATGCAGCCATCCCCTTGTCGCAGAACCTTGATATGTGAACCCACTGCTCCCCTCCTCACGTCCCCCCCTTCCCACTCAAAGCTTCCTACCCCCCCCAAAGAAAAATTCATCTCCACGCACAAGACAACCTAACCACCGCTCTCACCGGCCCGTTGGAGAAGAAGACGCCATCGGGGTTCATCTCCAGCACCTTTGCCGCGGGGTAGTCCGCGGGCACGACGGTGATCCGGCAGCCGAAGGAGGCTAGGCGGCGCAGGATGTTGTGCTTGATGCCGAAGTCGTATGCGACGACGTGGTAGGGCTCCGCACCGCCGCGCGAGGCCACGGCCTCCGGCGAGAACTCCCACTCCGCGCCGGTGGGGTCGCGCCACTCGTGCACCTCGTCGCAGGTCACCTCCCGGATCAGGTCCTTGCCGATGATGCTCCAGCCGCGCGCCACGGCCAGCAAGTCGGCGTCGGAGCGGGCCAGGTCGGTGGTGACCACGCCGTTGAGGCAGCCGGTGACGCGCAGGCGGCGCGTGATGGCGCGTGTGTCCACGTCGGCGATGCCCAGCACGCCCTGCTCCTTCAGGTAGGCGTCCAGCGTCAGGCTGGAGCGGTAGTTGGACACCGTGGCGGACAGGTCGCGGATGATGACCGCGCCCAGGTGGCACTTGGTGGACTCCATGTCCTCCAGGTTGATGCCCGTGTTGCCGATGTGGGGGTAGGTGAAGCACACAAACTGGCCCTTGTAGGAGGGGTCGGTCAGGATCTCCTGGTACCCCGTCAGCGATGTGTTGAAGACCACCTCGCCCACTGCGCAGTGGGGGCAGGGGATCAAATGGGTGAGGGGGGTGGTGGGGTTGGCGGTGATCGGAAGTTGGGAGGGTGGCTGATGATGCTGGAAAGGCAGGTGCAAGAGCTAGATTTGGTGGGAGGGGCAGTGATCCAGAACTGTGAGCCCTGGACGCCAGCGCTGGCCATGGACCTTGGGAGGTCGCGTTGAGACAAGGAATAACTAGAGCACCAGGTCACATGATTGTCGGCTGCACCAGCATGGTTACCGCAGGAACGGGTGCTTGCGGCAGGAGCACTGCACCCCATAGGCAATGTGCCTTTTCGACCGGTACGCTTGCATGCAGGGTCTCATCCCTGGCTCCTTTCTCTCATTCACTCTCTTCTCGTGTTCTTATATACACCTCCCCCTGCATCCTGGGCCCTCACCCTCTGTGCCTGTCGCTCCGAAAGCTGTGCCGTTCCATACCGAGCCGTCCTCCAACACCAGCCTGCATGATTGCAAAGAGGGAGTGCAGACCCTTAGCTCCCATGGCATGCCTCCATCTCTGGAGACTCAAACAAGCCCTCCCCAGCGCTGGAACCTACTTTGCCGGTGGGCGCTTGCCCCAGGGAGGGGAGACCGCGGCAGCAGATACGACCAGCCCACGACGTACACCCGAGGGGCCAGCAGGGCTCGAGCGCTGCGCAAAGGACCTCAGACGGGGAGCTGTGCTGAAGTACAGGCTGCGCTTTAGGTTCATGGCGCGGGGTGTGCATGTCGAAGACACTTGACGCCGGCACTGTACTGTGCCGCTTTGGGGGGCCAGCGCTGAGGCCATGGTTGCTAGGTAATGGTCGCAAGCAATTCAGAAGAGGCGACGCTCTGGAAGGTAGATCTATGGATCTACATGGGGTGTGCTGCGCCCGCGTGACCCCTAGGGCGTGACCTGCCCAGCCCTTGGGTCCGGAGCCCTCGTGCTCACGTGCGCGCCCTGGCCGATGGAAAGGCGGAAGCCCCGAGCAGACACCCCACCGAGGAGCAACCCTAAACACACTGGCCCAGGACGAGCCAACAATGACGCGGACCTACCCATCTACGTTGCCTCACATTGCATGTGAGCAGGGGGGGTGGTTGTGAAGGGGATGCACAGAGGGATGCTCGCCTTGGCGCCCTGGCTGAGGAGTGGGGGTGGAACCCCTGCCTTTGAGTATCCTTCGACTCGCATGCACGCAGATTGATGAAACCGAATGGCCTACATTCTTCTTCACTCCACAGAGGTGGCCAACCCCAGCTTGGAGAGTTAGGGGTCCGCGCCTTGGCCGTTTTCGAGGCCTGGGCAGGTGGCCATGGCTCTGCGCCAGCGATGCCCGGCCCTGGCGCGGGGCATATTCCTCCACCTAGCGCGTAGGGAGGCTGCAGGCGGCTGGGCATGGACCGCCGCGGCTGCCCCTGGCCCCACTCTGCCATCTACGTGCGTCCCGGCATGCGTGGGGGCCTGGCGCACCTTCGCTTCCGGGTCCCTCCCCGAGCACACCGAGCTTGCCATGCCCGCGCTCAGCCCCACAATGAACCAGGGGAACATCCTGGAGTGGCAGAAGAAGGTCGGGGACACCATCGCCCCCGGCGACATCTACTGCGAGGTGGAGACCGACAAGGTGAGCGGCTGGGCTGGGAGGTTGTTGCTGAGGAGAGCATACGTTCTCACGGTGTGGACTACGCAAGCTTGGAAATTCTGTCACAGAAAGGTCGCACTGTCTTGTTGTCCGCTCGTACTTCATCATGGAGAGGGGGCACAACCTTCACTCCCAACATCGCGCATGCCAACAATGCCCCGGACCCCCATCCTCATGCCGACCTCTTTCCAGGCAAGCATGGAGTGGGAGGCCCAGGAGGAGGGCTTCCTTGCCCGCATCGTGGCGGGTAACAATACCAAGGATGTGCCCGTGGGCCAGGTGGTCGCCATCATTGTGGAGAACGAGGAGGACATCCCCGCCTTCAAGGACTGGGCGCCCGGTGCGTCCTCCGAGCCCGCGCCGGCGCCGGCCAAGGAGGCGCCCGGCCACAAGGAGGCAGCTGCCCCCGCCAAGCCCGCGCCCAAGCCCAAGAAGGGCGGCAAGAAGGCCGCGAAGCCGACGGGCCGGTCCTGGCCTCCGCACGAGATCCTGACCATGCCCGCGCTGAGCCCCACCATGTCCCAGGGCAACATCCTGGAGTGGAAGAAGAAGGCGGGCGAAACCGTGGCCCCCGGCGACGTCTGGGCCGAGGTGGAGACTGACAAGGCCAGCATGGAGTGGGAGGCGCAGGAGGAGGGCGTCGTGGCCAAGCTGCTCTGCGCCGACGGCGCCTCGGGTGTGGCCGTGGGCCACCCGCTGGTGGTGCTGGTGGAGGAGGGCGCCGACATCACCGCCTTTGCCGACTTCACCGACGCCGACGCACAGGGCGGGGCGGGGGGGGCGGCTGGCGAAGGGGAGGCCGAGGAGGCCGAGGGTGCGAAGGAAGTCAAGCCGGCCAAGGAGGCCAAGGAGGCCAAGCCCGCGGCGTCAGCCAAGCCGGCCAAGTCGGCGGCGCCCGGCGCCCGCGTCGTGGCCAGCCCCTACGCCAAGAAGCTGGCCGAGGAGGCGGGGGTGTCCCTGCAGGGCGTGGCTGGCAGCGGGGAGGGCGGCCGCATCACGGCGGCGGACGTCCGCGAGCTGGTGGAGTCGGGCGGGGGCAAGCCCGTCGGCGGTGCGGGCGACGCCGGCGCGCAGGCGGCCGCCACCAGCTGGGAGGGCGAGGGCGACGACGTCGCGCACTCCCAGATCCGGCGCATCACCGCGCAGCGCCTGCTGGAGTCCAAACAGACCGTGCCGCACTACTACCTCTCCGTCAGGTGTGGAGGGAGACAAGACACGGGGTGGTGGGGGGGGGGGGGGGAGGAAGGTGGGATGGGAAGTGAGGCTGTGGCTGCCTTGAGATCCTGGGCCATATTCCTCTGGGGCTGTCTTGGTCCTCAACTTGTTAGACATGGGGATGCTGCCACAAGGCCAGGCATGGATTTGGTAACACAGCAATCTTCACGGCCACACCCTCCCCACTCCGGCCTGGCATGGCACGCCCCAGGCCCAGCTGTTTATAATTGAATAAATCTGTGTCCTCCCCCTCCCCCCAAAACTAACGACAGCGTGCGCGTGGACGAGCTGGCCGCGCTGCGCGCGCGGCTGAACGCCGACCTGGCCAAGGCCGACGGCGGCAAGCTGTCCGTCAACGACTTTGTGGTGAAGGCCTCCGCGCTGGCGCTGCGCCGCTTCCCTGCGGTCAACGCCAGCTGGCACGCGGACTACATCCGGCAGTACCACGACGTCGACATCTCCATTGCAGTGCAGACCCCGGCGGGCCTCATGGTACCCATCGTGCGGGATGCCGACGCCAAGGGCCTGGCCGCCATTGCGGCCGACGTGAGGCGGCTGGCGGGCAAGGCCAAGGAGGGCAAGCTGCGGCCCGAGGAGTTCACGGGCGGGACCTTCACCATCTCAAACCTGGGCATGTACGGCGTCAGCCAGTTCTCCGCCATCATCAACCCGCCCCAGGCCTGCATCTTGGCGGTGGGCGCGGCCGAGCCGCGCGTCGTGCGCGGCGCGGCGGGGGGGTTCGAGGAGGCGCAGTTCCTCCAGGCCACGCTCTCCTGCGACCACCGCGTTGTGGACGGCGCGCTGGGCGCGCAGTGGCTGCAGGCCTTCAAGGGGTACCTGGAGAACCCCGCGTCCATGCTGCTCTGAGCACAGCAGTGGGTTTATGGCTGGGCTTGCCGACCTGCACCCCGTACGTTGCCATGAAATTCAGAATACGAGCAATCATGCATAGAAGCCGGGAAGCTAGGGACAGGATGGGAACAAGGAGGCCTGCAAGCCACCTGGAGTTGATGTGAGCCGTGCGCCAGATGTTTGTTTGAGTGGGACTCCGGTCCGGTGTTAGCATGCCCGGAGAGTTGACAGAGCTCGGATGACAACTCTCAGCGCGAGATTGTCTGAGACACCATTGATATATGTGACAATAGGCCGGCATGGATTTATTTCCGTGAGTATCGCCCCAGTCCCCCCCCCATGCCGCCTCTGAAGGCATCCGTCACGCACCGAGTGCATGCTCGGGCGGGGCTGCTTGGCAACCCCAGTGATGGCTTCCAGGGCGCAGTCATCGCAGTGTCGGTGGCCAACTTCTGGGCGGAGGTGACGGCCTCCCCCAGTTCCCGCATCGACATTCTGCCCTCCCCGGATCACGACCCAACCTCCTTTGGCAGCATAGCACAGCTGTCCCACCATGCGGCAGGGTATGGCTGCAATGGAGGAGTGTGGCTCCTCATGGTGAGCATTTGGCCCGATCATGCGCATCAATGAGCATTCCTGGGGGGTGGAAGCAGCGTTGCCCAGGTGAACTGCCCCACGTCACCCCCTCCCTTCCAACCCGGGAACCACAGGCAGCATGCCACCAGTTCCAGCAGCACTGCGATGCCGCCGGCATCCCCCTCCCGCCCATCACCTTTGCGCTATCCTACACCACCAACATCCCTCGCCAAGCGGGGCTCTCGGGGTCGTCAGCCCTGGTGCTGGCGACGCTGCGCTGCCTCATAGAAGCGCACAGCGTGGAGGACGGGATCAGTGCCTTCGACCTGCCCTCGCTGGCGCTCGCAGTGGAGACTTCCCTTGGAATCGCCGCCGGCCTGCAGGACAGGGTCGTCCAGACCTTTGGCGGCTGTGTGTACATGGACTTTAGTGAATTGTCCTCGTCTGGCCAGGGAGTGTACCTGGCGATCGACCCAGGTGGGGATGCCTCATTATCAGGGCATCGAGGCCAGCTTGCTGGGATTCGTGGGAATGACAGGTCTGCTGACCGTCGACATAATGCACGCCAGCACTGCGTGTTGCACGGCGACCAGGCAATAGTCAAGTCCCTCACCTTCCACCCACCTACCCTGCCACAGCGCGCCTGCCACCGCTGTTCCTCATCATCGACAACCATCCCACCGGGAAGACCAGCGGACAGGTCCATGCACTCATCAAGGAGCGCTGGCTCGCAGGAGACCGTGCAGTCAGGTGCGTGGGCGCTTTGAATGCACTTTCTGACGGACTTGGAGGGCAGGGGCGACCGACGTGCACACTCGCGCCACGCAGGGCGGGAATGGATGCTGTAGCGGAATGCGCACAGGAGGGCTGGGGGGCATTGCGGGGGCGCATCGGCGCCGCCGCGCTGCCGGACCTGATGCACCGCAGCTTCGAGGCCCGGCGGCGGCTGTACGGCGACGAGGCGATTGGTCGCCGCACATTGGCCATGGTGAAGCTGGCAAGGAGCTGCCGCGCTGAGGCCAGCCTGGCGGGGAGCGGCGGCTGCGTGGCGCTGTGTTTCAGGGAGGAGTCGGGGTACATCGAGCACCTGCCGGCTCTGCAAGCCGCATGCGAGGCTGCGGACTTCAGCCTGGTTAGGCTGCGTATCGGAGATGCCCTGCATGCCCTCCCCGCTCACGCCCGTGACCCCTGTTGAGAACCCGTGACCCTGGTCGCATCCTAAGCTCTGAGCTTGCATGCAGATCATGGTTTAATACCGAGAGGCACTGCCCGGGCTAGGTGTTGCAGGAGGGGGCGTCGCCTGCAGCCAGGCCGTGGCAATGCAGTTATGAGGCATCGTCTTCAGCCTCCTGGTCATACTGCCAGAGCTTGAGAATGCCATCGTCCCCCGCCGAAGCCAGCAGGCCGGGTATCGTCGGGTGCCAGCGCACGCAGTTGGTGTCGCTCGCGTGCGCCGCAGCCTCTTTATGCGCCAGCGTCACCGCCAGCTTTTCCACCGGCGGCGCCTGGAACCCATGCTCAGGCATGAACAGGCTCCTCACCTTCAGGCCAGGCGCCAGGCTAGGGCCGGATCCCGGCCCGGAATCACTCCCAGGTGGCGATGGCATGGCATTCGCGTTGGCTTGAGGTGGGCTGGCGCTTGCAGCCCCACCCACCCCATGTATGCAAATGCTGTTGTCAGCTCCCCCGCTCGCGATCAGCGGCGCGCAGCGCGACCAGTCGACCGAGAAGATCGTGCGGGAGTGATCGCCTCGCAGGGTGGTGGCCAGCTGCCACTGGGGCCCGTCTGTGAGAGGTCCAGGGCGAGCAGGCGGTTCCATCAGAGCCACTGTATACCAGTCACCGGCCTGACCGCGGGTGCTCCAGGCACAGCATGTCTCCCTGGACGCACATGGTGGAGCTGAATCCACCTTGCTGAGCACACTCACTCCCCGTCCCAAGGCAGCCCCCAATCTAGAACCTGCCTTGGCGCGATCCAGACTTGCAGGCCCAGATCTTGAGCGTGCGGTCATCGCTGCAGGACACCATGAACTTCCCGGTGCTCTCAAAGCTCAAATCCCAGACCGTCGAGCTGTGACCGATGCCCGGCCCTGGAGGTGACAGGAGGAACCTTCAAACGTGCGGCGTTGGCAAGCAAGGGGCAGCTGCAGGCTGGTATTGGTGGGCAGGCGTATGAACCGTTCGTCTGAGCGCCCTCCCATCCACCACCCCCGCACCTGACAGAGTCTGTGCGCAGACCCACTCGTCGTCCTCCCCGACCCAGAGCTTCATGCTGTCGTCGTAGCTGGCAGACACCAGGACCTCGCCGCCGGGGTGCCAGCGCACGGTCTTCACGTCCTGCAGGGTGCTCCAGTGTGGCACGAGGGATGCACATTAGACAGTTGGGGTTCCATCTCCACCCCTGGCATCCCACCAGCTTCGCGCCAGGGAACTCGCCTGGGTGTGCCCATGCTTGACGTCCAGCACCTCGTACTCGTCGCCGGGCGCAGACTCCCAGACCCAGACCGTCTTGTCCCGGGAGCAGGTGGCCAGCAGCCCGCCGTCTGGACTCCAAGCCACGTCCTTGACCTCGCTCTCGTGGCCCTCCAGCAGGGTGGTCATCTCCCAGAGGCGGTTCCATCAGAGCCACTGTATACCAGTCACCGGCCTGACCGCGGGTGCTCCAGGCACAGCATGTCTCCCTGGACGCACATGGTGGAGCTGAATCCACCTTGCTGAGCACACTCACTCCCCGTCCCAAGGCAGACCCCAATCTAGAACCTGCCTTGGCGCGATCCAGACTTGCAGGCCCAGATCTTGAGCGTGCGGTCATCGCTGCAGGACACCATGAACTTCCCGGTGCTCTCAAAGCTCAAATCCCAGACCGTCGAGTTGTGACCGATGCCCGGCCCTGGAGGTGACAGGAGGAACCTTCAAACGTGCGGCGTTGGCAAGCAAGGGGCAGCTGCAGGCTGGTATTGGTGGGCAGGCGTATGAACCGTTCATCTGAGCGCCCTCCCATCCACCACCCCCGCACCTGACAGAGTCTGTGCGCAGACCCACTCGTCGTCCTCCCCGACCCAGAGCTTCATGCTGTCGTCGTAGCTGGCAGACACCAGGACCTCGCCGCCGGGGTGCCAGCGCACGGTCTTCACGTCCTGCAGGGTGCTCCAGTGTGGCACGAGGGATGCACATTAGACAGTTGGGGTTCAATCTCCACCCCTGGCATCCCACGAGCTTCGCGCCAGGGACTCGCCTGGGTGTGCCCATGCTTGACGTCCAGCACCTCGTACTCGTCGCCGGGCGCAGACTCCCAGACCCAGACCGTCTTGTCCCGGGAGCAGGTGGCCAGCAGCCCGCCGTCTGGACTCCAAGCCACGTCCTTGACCTCGCTCTCGTGGCCCTCCAGCAGGGTGGTCATCTCCCAGACCGCGCCCTGTGCAGCCAGGTGTGTGCCAGGAGCGGTGCAGTGGCCAGGGAAGCAGATCTGGGAGTGAGTGGCCGCTGCACCCAAACCCCAGCCCACTGCCCCACCCCTACCTTGACCTCCCAGATTGCAACCGTGCGATCGAAGCTGGCTGTCGCCAGATGAGAGCCAGTGGGTGACCAGCAGCAGGAGCGGATGGTGCGGGAGTGCACGTCCTCAAGGATGGCGGTGCAGTGCCAGGTGTCGGAACCTGGCTGGGACCGGCGCCAGATGCGAACGGTCTTGTCACCGCTGCAGCTGGCCAGCGTGTCCCCTGGAGATTGGAGTGGTTGGTGAGAGTTATGGAAATTGCGCAGCACGGCCTAGAGTGTCGAGAAGGCCGATCAACACCTTATACCTGTAGGCGACCACGCGACGTGCCACACTCTGTCGTCATGCCCTTCCAAACTTTGCAGCAGCCTCAGCTTCGGCATGGAGTATATCTGGTTGTACGAATTCCCCCTTGCATCGTTTATTTCGATTGGAAGGACGCTATTTCCATGTGCCCATCGCTGGTACGAATCCGAGAGCGATAGGGCGCAAGGTCGCGCCTTGGCGGCGAGACGGACTGAGCTCATCCGAAACTGTGCACGCAAGGCAATTCAAACGAGTCACATACATGTATTATACACAAATATACATTTGAGTCCATGGTGGACCCTGTCCGGCTCTGTGTCAGTGGCTTGGCACCGGGGGTGACCCCATCGGAACTGGAGGCCCGATTCCACCCCTTTGGGTCCGTGCTGAGCTGCGAGATGATAGCGCCCAAGGTGTATGACAGTGTTGAGTTCCATAGGGGGCTCGCCTACGTCACCCTGACTCCCAAGGACCCGGCTGCCCTGGCCAATTGCCTGGCAGTGTACAATGGCTGCAAGTGGCGAGGGGGCGTCCTCCGGTGTGCACCAGCCTGTCCAGACTACCGCGAACGACTCCGTATGATGCAGAGCGATGAGGTGAAGCTGTTCGAAGCCGATGTAGGGAGGGGTGTCGGGAGCACGAGAGTGTCAAGGAGCTGGTGCAGTTGTCCAGGGGTCTAGCTGTGTGGAGCAAGACTTTCCTTGCTGGGTAGGGCCAAGAGAAACCCTGCCCCAACTACCATTGTACTCCGCACAGGCATCTGTGGATCCATCAGGCGCAGAGGAGCTGGAACCCGAGAGCCCAGCAGTGCTACGGCTCAAGGGCCAGACGTATGGGGAGGTTGTGACGATAGCAAGCGCTGGGAATGGATCCCACCAGGCCCTGGAGGGTGAGGATGCATCGCCAGGCGCTGCTGAGCTGCGAGCAGCCTCCTCGTGGGCTCCCTTGCCCGTCCCTGCCGGCGCAAACTACACGTTTGAGGCACACCTGGCCAAGGTTGCACACCTGGCCCCACCTCGGCAGGCCCCTGCCCCGCAGGAGACCGAGGAAGGCGAGTGGGAGAGGTGGGCATGGGTGACTGCTTGAAGGCATGGCAATGCCTTATCAGCCTTCATGCTGATGCCTGCTGTCTATGATCGTGCAGAGGCACGCGCATCGGCGCTGACGGCTTGGCTGGAGGCCCGCGACGCACCACGACAGGCTGGCGCCAGGAAGCCGGCCCCCAAGAAGGCAAGGGTGGCTGCTGCGGCAGCTGGGCCTGCTGCTGCTGCAACTGGACCTGCCGCCCAGGCTGTCCCATCCGCCGCTTCTCCCAAGGCAGCTGCGCCGCCAGTCACAATCGTGCATGCCTTGCTGGACAAGTTTGCGGGGAGCAGCGACGAGGAGGAAAGGATGCCCTTTGATCCCGCGGACCTCCTGCCCTCGGCCTCTGACAGCAGCGGAGCGAGCGAGCTTGCCGAGTTCCTGGCGGGCGAGGAGGTGGGGTCGGGCTCCAGGGACCCGGACACCCAGGAGCAAACGGCGGCAGCCCCCAAGAGGCGCACGCCTGTTGGCGCGCAGCCGAGAGGGAGGGGCCCTCGGGGTTTTGAGCGAGTGGGCAACCCCGCCCTGCCGAAGCCACCGCACCCCGTGCAGCTGCCCGGGGTGGTCAGTTTCCTGGAGGACGGTGGAGACCTGGAGCCTGCCGGCCGCAGCGTCCGAGACCTCGGCAGGTTTGGGGGTGCCAGCAGCGACGAGGACGGCCCGAGGCCATGGCCGAAGCGCACCATTCCGCAGCTGGATGGGGCGGCCCCAGGGAATTCGTCGTCCGGCTCAGAGGACTGCAGCAGCGGCAGCAGCGACGGGGAGCGGTCGACCGGGGCCGAGAGCAGCAGCAGTGATGAGGAGGAGATGCACACCAGCACGCAGGAAAGGACGCCTGGCGGCGAGGTTCTCGACGGGAGCAGGAGGGCAGGAGCGGAGAGTGGCAGCGGGAGTAGCGAGGCGAGTGGCAGCGAGGGCAGCGCGGCGAGTGGCAGCGAGGGCAGCGCGGCGAGTGGCGACTCAGGCAGCAGCGACTCCGGAGCGTCAGGTGCTGTGTGTGACAAAGCCGGCAGCCCCCGCCCTGCCGCGGCGCAGGGGACCCCCGCCCTGCCGAAGCCACCGCACCCCGTGCAGCTGCCCGGGGTGGTCAGTTTCCTGGAGGACGGTGGAGACCTGGAGCCTGCCGGCCGCAGCGTCCGAGACCTCGGCAGGTTTGGGGGTGCCAGCAGCGACGAGGACGGCCCGTGGCCATGGCCGAAGCGCACCATTCCGCAGCTGGATGGGGCGGCCCCAGGGAATTCGTCGTCCGGCTCAGAGGACTGCAGCAGCGGCAGCAGCGACGGGGAGCGGTCGACCGGGGCCGAGAGTAGCAGCAGTGATGAGGAGGAGATGCACACCAGCACGAAGGAAAGGACGCCTGGCGGCGAGGTTCTCGACGGGAGCAGGAGGGCAGGAGCGGCGAGTGGCAGCGAGAGTAGCGAGGCGAGTGGCAGCGAGGGCAGCGCGGCGAGTGGCAGCGAGGGCAGCGCGGCGAGTGGCAGCGAGGGCAGCGCGGCGAGTGGCAGCGAGGGCAGCGCGGCGAGTGGCAGCGAGGGCAGCGCGGCGAGTGGCGACTCAGGCAGCAGCGACTCCGGAGCGTCAGGTGCTGTGTGTGACAAAGCCGGCAGCCCCCGCCCTGCCGCGGCGCAGGTGACTGAGCGGGACGGCGTGCCCGACTGGCTGGCCGCCGCCTTCCCCGCCGGTGCCACCTTCTTTCGCAGCGAGCCGCTTGCGATGGTGGAGGCGACTTGGAGAGTGAAGAAGGAGGCCTGGACCCTGGACTACAAGTCCAAGAACAGGCAAGCGGTGCGCCAGGCAGGAAAGGGGGGGAAGTACAAGAGAGCGCGGACGTGAGGCCGTGGGAGGCCAATGGACCCTGCCTTCTTGAAGTTGGTGCAGTCCAAACCTGCCCCCCCATGCACATGCATGCCTTTGCTTGTGTGTGCTTGGGCCCTGAGCAGTCCCATCGGGTATGCTTTGCCGGGTGATGACCCATTTGGCCACATGTAAACAAGGTGTGCTCTGGACATTGGGGACAGGGATCACCAGATCGGATGAGGGATCTCACCGTCTCGGCGCCAGCTGGTTTCGGCTCGCAAGGGGTAATTACAAGTGCAGTACTCGCCACGCAACGGGGGCGGACTGCTTTCCTGGGCAAGGAGCACGAGCTACAGGCGCCAGCGCTCAGACATAGGGGTTGTCCATCTGCCGGACCAGCTGGGGGATGTCTATGGAGAGCGAGTCGTCGATCTGCCAGAGGTTGAGGGGGAGGGCAGGGAGCCATTAGGACGCCTCTAGTAAGTGATGCAGGGCCCTGCGCTCACAAAGGACGCCAACACGTCATCCCCTCAATGAATCACTGCTGCCACCCCATCGGCGCATGCTCACCTGCTTGATCATGCTCTTGTCCAGCTTGGTGAATTTGGAAATGTCAAAGGCGGACAGGATGTCCCGGTACCGATTCACGTCAGGGAAGTCGCCTGCGTCGGCGGGGTGAATAACATTGGCGATGGCGTCGGGCGGGTGTTGGATCCAGATGCAGGATCGTAATCCCTGTTCAATTTGCACATTGCCTGAGGCATCGCCTTGTCTTGGCCTGTCCCACCCCACCCACACCCTTTCCCCCCCCATGTACCCCTCTCCCACCAGTCAACCCCGACTCCACCCCACCCCATCCGACCCCGGCCTTGCCTGCGTGGAGGTGGTACTCCCGCTGCACCTGCCGGAACTCATTTGCCAGATTGTCCATCAGCTTCTCCTGGGCCTTCTTCTGCCCGAAGTAGGGCATCTGCTTGCGCAGGTGGCCCATGATGAGGCAGTGGATCTTGGCCGCCCGCACGCGCTTGACGAATTCGTTCACCTTACGGTCGCAGGAGCGCGCGGGGATGTCGTAAAGGTCGTGCAGCAGGTCCTGGAGGGTTGGCGATGAGGTCGCGGGGTTGGGGCATGCTGGGAGGTGCGGATGCGCATCATGCTGAGACAGTTACGGCAAAGGCGGCTGGCAAGGCGTTGCCTGGCACATGGGTGCTGTCTGGCCAGGCTACACAGGATGTAGCCACCCCCCCCGACCTCACATCTCCCCCACTCCTCAAAAAGAACACCCACCAGATCCTCACCTCCTGCTCCTTCTCGAAAAGGGGCTTGCAAGTGGGGTTCACGTCGTCCCGAATGGGGTTGGAGGCGTTGAAGGAGCCAATGTACACGCGGCACACCTCCGGCGAGCGGAAGACCTTGCCCAGGGACCACATGAGTGCGCCGTACACCCGCATCAGCTGCTGCTGGTCCACGCTGTCGGCCTTGTTCAGCACGATGCGCACCTTGTCATCGTGCCCACGCAGCGTGCTGATCACCTGAGGGAGGAAAGGGGGAACGGCAAGGGTGTGAGAGGTCAGAGGGTGTGCGAAAAGGGGGCAGCCATGCCATGGACCTGTGCATCAACCAACCACTTTGCACAGCGTACTTGCTCCATGATACATTCCAGAGTGGCTCTGGCTGTTGGCCAGCTGCGTGTCCTGTGAGGCCCACTCCCATTGATTGCCAAGCCTCCAACTCATAGGCAAACCCCATGGTCCCTCCTCCCCACAAACCTCCTTGAACTCGTCGGAGATGTCCAGCTTGTAGGGGTCGAATAGCAGGAGGATGAGGTCGCAGCGCGCAGCAAACCAGCCGCAGACCTGGATGAAGTCGTAGGTGCGCTCTATGCGCTGCTTCTCGCCAGACAACACGCCTGCGTGCAGGGAGGTGTGATGTGGTGGGGTGTGGACGAGGTGGAGGGCCATCCTCAGCATGCATCTCAGGCATGGCTGGGCGCCCTCGCTGAGAAGATTCTTGCCGACAAGCTCGCAAGCAGGGCCGCAGCACGACTCCTCCCTACTCATGTACTGCGCCTGGCGCAGCGCATGTCCAGGCCCCAGATCCGCACCTGGGGTGTCCACCAGCGAGATTTCCTCCAGCAGACGGTTGTCGCACTGGGCGGACTCAAATTTGGACAGGAACCCATTGCCAAACTGGGACAGGCCCTGTGGTGTACGGTGAGTGGACCGCGGTTGTTTTGGTGGCATGAGTGGAAGGTTTGCGTGATTTGTGAAGCATCCCGATCCTGGAACGCTAGGAGACCACATGGGGGCAAGGTTCACAATCCTGGTCCTGTGGCAGGCTTGCTCTCCCCAATAAAATCAGGCCTACTGGACACCCCAAGGTCTGGTCAAACAGGACATGCACCCCAGGTTCTGATTGCAGTGCTCCCCCCCTGCCCAAGGACTCACTGTGTACGGCTTGTCGGGCTGCACCACGAGGGTGTTCCCTGGCGTCCTCCTCTCCTCCGGCCCATGCATCACCACGACGAAGCGATCGGTGGTGGGCTCGGGCCCGATGTGGATGCCTGGGTAGTCGCGCCCCAGCAGGAACTTGATAAAGGTGGACTTGCCCGTGGAGTACTGACCGAGCAGCAGGACGGAGGGCTTGGCTTCAAAGTCGCCCGCGGAGAGGAGGGGGGAGAAGAAGTGGCCAAACTTGTAGCCGTCCTCCAGCGGGCGGATCTTAGAGGGTGGGGGGCGGAGCATGGGTGAGGGCTCCTCCCAGCGTCGACTCATGCTGGTTTGTAGCTGACGACAACCCCAGAGAAGCAGGTGCCAACGATGACAAGACACTGGGCCCGGGCATGGTAGGCATCTACCTTACACACATACACACACACACACACACACAGGCTTGCCCCATTCCCATCACCTTCCCTCCCCCACACCTTGTTGAAGTAGATGTTCTTCAGGCCTTCAGAGATGCCCACCGCCTCCTTGGTGGTCATCACCGGCCGTCGCAGCGACTGATGCCGGCGTGACGTGGTCCGGGCGGTGCTGGGATGACTGCTTGCCTCGGCTTGCGGTGGGAAAGCCAGCTTGAAGGGCGGGACACCCACGGGGGGCGACGAAGCCAGACGTGGGGTGCTCTCCTGGCATGGTCAGGGTGGGGGCTGAAACTGGAAATCTTGTGCAGGACAGCAGGCGACGATGACACAGGAATCTACATCCCAACCAAGGCCCCTCCACATCTCCTAAGCAGCTCAGCAAAATCCTCACAGCCTCGCACTCTCCCCGACCTACTCACAGAGCTCTCTGCGCCGCCAAAGGGATTGATCCCGCCTCGCTCCGTGTGCGAGCCGGGACCCGCTTTCTTTTCCAGCCCCGCCATGCGCGGTGGGGCCACGCCCATGGCTTTTGCCTGGGTATATGCCTCGCCTCCGACCTTGCCCGTCCTCTGTGCCACCGAGATGAGCTCCATCGCCTTGGCAAAGGCGGGCAGGTCCAGGAAGCCACGGCGACTGTAGTCTGCCGCCGCCCACACTTTGGCCAGAGCATCCCTCTGCAGACCACTGCGCTGGAAAAAGGTCACTGCATCAGGACCGGTGAGCCTCCCGTCGCCGTCTGGGAATTGGGATTTGGGTACGGTGGAGGGTTGTTAGGTGGAACAGGCTCCCACAACAACCCAAGGTGCAGGCATCACGAATGCCTGATCTGCACGACATACAGAGACTGAGATGGGGTCCCCGACCACAGCCCCCTCACCTGTGTCGGCGGTCTGGAACCAGCTGAGGTAGAGCTCATCGTTGCTCACAGAGGTGGGCTCGTGTACAGTTGACGCGTTGGTAGCGAAGGGGTCCCAATGAGACTCCATGTCTGGCAGAGGCACAGGAACCTGCTCGGATCCCACACTTGTCTACACCATGGAGTTTATGGAGTGATTCTGCAGCCTCCTGATGCTCCCTCAGGCTCAGTGAGCTGTAGAGGTGAAGTTGGGTCGCTCAACCGATCACCCGCTGCGATGTCTCTCTCACAGCCAAGCCGGGCGAACGTCAGATATCTCAACTCGACTGATATTTGACCATGATCAGTTTGTCTGACAAGACTATCTTCCCATGCACAACGATCCGGCGATCATGTTTCCGCGCGCTCCCGACAAAGTCCCGGACTTGCGGTGCACGCTTCCAGTCGACGTCAACCCCTGTTCCTGGCCTCCACTCGTGATTGCCACGCTCTCCAAACCTACTTCGTATGCGAGTTTATGGATCACTTTGAATCGTTCATTCTTCATGCTACGGTAACGTGCTGGGGATGAGCACTCCTTGTTGCATACTTGACAAGCATGGCCACATGTAGCCCCTGATTAACTCAATTCCCCTGCACGCGAGTCCTGAATACCAAACAGCTTTTCATTGTGGCTGAATGTCGAGCGGGGGTGCTTTTGGAGGCAGTCGAGGCTTGAAGCCCAAGCCACCAGAGAAGGGTGTCTTCCCCCTGGACCACTTTGGGGAGTGCAAAGAGGTAGGATTCGGTGCAGTGGAGAATGGCCGTCGACTTCGTGCTGTGTGCCATGACCCCTCACATCGATGCATGCGCCACCCGCTCGCAGGTGAAGGAGAAGTACATGGCATGCCTGAGGAGCAACAGGGATGAAACCCGGGCTTGCCAATCCCTCGCTGAGGAGTACCTGCAATGCCGGATGGACAGGTGGGCCGAGGGTGGACCTTGAGGAACACCCTGGCGCTCTGGGGCCTATCCAGAGGGTTCGCACGGTACACTTGTTCGAGTCACTTCACTGCCTCTTTCACCACAGGGACCTCATGGCAAAGCAGGACCTGCGCGAGCTCGGGCTCGGGCACGAGGCCAAGACTGAGAGCGCACCGCGCCCAGACGAGAGCGCCTCAGCGCAGCGGCGGAGGGAGGCTCGGGGCTTTGTTGCCGGCGAAAGCCAGAAAGAGCGGCGGGCAGCACCGGGGCAGGATCTGCCCTCTTTCAAACGTGGGCACTGACTCCGGCCATTGTGAATGTGCAATGCAATAACCGAACATTACAGTCCGACAATGTGTGTTCATACCAAGGTGTCGGGGCTGACGAACGTGCAGTTGGGAAGATCAAGCAGTCTGAGCCAGCAGCCACCCATGACGAGGCGATCCTCAGCACGCGACGGGTCCCCCCATGCCGAGGCATGGGGGAAGCATGGCCCCGATTCGCACTCGACTGCGGACGAGGCGTCGTCGTCGACTACATTACACATTTTGCGCCCAAGATCTGTGCGTTCCGTCGCGGCATCGTTGTGTCATGGAACAGCCGGGTGGCTGAGTTTGGGAGCCCGACTGTTGCAGCCATGCATGGGCAGGATCTCTCGACATGCAGCCCTGCTCTGTTTCGGCCAGCCTCACTGGCCACACGCCGCCACTTCCCCGCCCCGCCAACCGAGCGGTGTCGCAGGCTGCGGGGCCGTGCAGCCGGTCAGGTCCGGGGTCCCGGGCCTGAGGATGATGATGATGAGCAGGCGTCCCTGCCCTCCTCCTCCTCCGTGGACATAGACGACCTGGTGTCCAAGCTGTCTGCCCACGCCGGCAGAATGCGCGCCGGAGCCCCCGCCGAGCCGCAGGGAGGGCAGGGCACTGGGCGCCAGCGCGCCATCTCCAACATGGGCTTCCTGCTGACCCCCGCGGGCGACGAGGCCCACATCACCGAGTCCAGCATCCGTGCCAGCGTGGGCCCTGGCGGCTTCCACGCCTCCGACTTTGAGCTGCTCCAGGAGCTGGGCCAGATCAGCATCCAGCAGGTCTGGGGTCGAAGGGGAGGGGGGGGGGGGGGGCGGCTGAGTTGTTCAGGACTCCAGGGCCATCACCATCTGCAAAGGGCCTGACCCCTGACGCAGGAACCCCTCTGTCCGCCCCAGGTGGAGACGTCGCCGGGCGGGGAGGAGCCGCAGCAGCATGCCCTGCACCACAACACGGCACGCAGCGTCGCCGTGATTGGCTACACGGCTGCCTACCGCTCCGGCATGCCCTTTGAGGACCCGGTGATGGTCATGCTCAAGGAGTGAGCAGGATGTGGTGGGGAGATGGAGGGGGGGGAGGGTAAATGCAGAAAGGATGAGTATTAAGGGTGGTGCACTAGGGGAATTGAGTAAACAGGAGAGCCGCCAGCAGGGTGTTGTGATGAGCCTGCGATCGCAAGCCATGCTTGTGTCGATGCCTTGCAGCAGTGTCTCAATGTCAGAGCCTACAGCATGCCAGCTCCACCAGGTACCAATCCCCCTACTATCACCCCCCCCCCTTCCCCAATGCACAGGTACCTCCCCGCGGCCCGGGCAGTTGCCTTCAACGAGCTGCAGGTGCTGAGGGCTCTCACCGGCCTCCCCCACGCGCATGAGAAGTTCAGGGCGGCCTCCTCCTCGCTCAGCGCCAACCCCCCGGTGGTCGAACTGCTGGGCTACTTCCTCGCCGGGCACAGCGACAGCGCGCGGCGCCTGGAGCCGGCCGCCATCCTTGCGCATCCAGAGAACACCATCTGGTGGGTCGAGACAAGGGCGGGCGTTTGATCATGGCATGTGCCTGGGTGGTGGTTGTGGCTGGAGGGGGTCATCATCGCCCCTCGGCATCACCCGCTCGGCCTGTAGGGCAGCGCAATGTAACAAATGCCGCCCCCCTGCTCGATTCACCCCTCCCATACAGGGTGGTCACCAAGTGGGATGGCTTGGCCCCGCTCACGCACTACCCCGCCCAGCAGCAGACCAGCGGGCTGGGGCTGGGGAGGCGCTGGGGGGAGGGCGCCGGCGCCTCCCACACCCGCAAGCGCATGCTGAGGTGAGGCTGTGGCGAGGGCGGGTGGGGGCCTGGTGTGATCAGAGGCGTGGGTACAGAGCATTTGCAACGTGGCACACTGCCTCAAGGAACCGAGTGAGTGCTGCTGAGTCCCGCATCGTCTCGACACAAATGGTAAATAAGCATCAGACATTCCATTCCCCAAACAAGCACCCCCTTCTCTTCCCCCCTCTCCCTCACACCCAGGGCCATCGCGCGGGGCCTGCTGCGCGCGCTGTGCTACTGCCACGTGCGCGGCGTGGTGCACGGTTCGCTAGGCTCCGGCTCAGTCCTGCTTTCCTCATTCGACGACACCCATGCCGAGCGCTTGGTGGTCAAGCTGGACAACCTGGGCTGCGCCCCGCCGCGTCTTCTGCCCCCTCCCCGACGGCGCCGGCACCGGTGATGCTCCGTGCTTGCACCAATCACTTTTATAGGGGTGATATGTCTGCTCCGCCGTCTGTTGTTTGACAAGACCTGATACCCTGTGCCGCCTGGCTTGACTGCTCTTTTCTCCCGCTCACACCCCTCCACCAACTCCACTACAAGGTCCCCCCCCTATCAACCCCCCCCCTTCCCCTATCA